ATGTCCCCTTCTGCCCTGGCACTCAGTTTGCAGCCCCGCCAGTAGCCACGCGGTGGCTATTATTTCAGGCAAATAAAACGGTACCGACAACGTCAAGAGAGACTGAAGTAGCCATTCCTGGCTTATAAGTAATCGTGAGCCAGCCAGACACCAATGTTTCAGAAGGAGGAGGATATAGGTCCCGTATCTGTATTTAGACAATATTGTACATAACAATCAACTTGCGTCTGTCGTCCTCAGACTAAGCCGCAATTGTGTCATTAGTAGTATTAGCAGAAAATATATGAATGGTTTAACCACTATGTCTTAACTGCGTATGCAAGCCCTGCGTATGTTCACCAGCTATTAAAAATAATCACGATTGAGGCATTTATTCTTACGCAAAATGGCATTCAAACCTTTCCAGCACGTCACCTAACTTCTCTAGCTTGCTCAACGTGACATAAAACGTGCCAATTTTTGAGCTGGAAATAAGCACTTACACTTTCGAGGATGAAGGAGGAAATGTCAAAGCCCTGGCCAGCTGGAAGCGCGGCCATCACAAATGTACATTGAGCGGCGGCTCCGAGTGCTCCATTTGTTGAAAGAATATATCGCCAAAGACGTAAGGCATCGTAGGCTATAGCATTCGACGGATCCACCTGGATGATAGCAATCTGGCTCTTCTCACAGAAGGACATATAACTCACCATGTCAATAAAGTACAAAGAGAGAGGTGGGCGGGCCAGGAGGATAATGGCTACAATGTGAAGTGTAATCAGGTTTTAATTATTCCTCCTTTAATTAAATCTTAAAAATAAAACCGTGCAATTAAAGGCAAAGGATTATGTTTAGAGGCTGAGAATAGAGTTTACTTCTAATTATGTCTTGCCTTCCTAGGACAAACTGGCAAACTGGCATATGCCATTACACGTTCATGCAATCTGACCAATAAAATAACAATTCCTGAATTGAAACATTGTTAGCGACATCAGGATTGAGACGTAGGGAATGTAATACTGATTTTAGAGATGAATTGCATACCATGCAAAGCATTGATTTCCTGCCTCACTAAACATTCCTCGTGAAAACGTTCCTCAGCACAGTACCATTCTAATGCGAAACAAACATATATGTTATAGTATTGTTTACAAGACAAGGAAGAAGCATACGCTCTCAAAAGTACGTGCACTCGGACTGATAAATTAAGAGTTCCTGAACGGGAACGCCGTCAGAGAAATCAGGAATGAGACAAATAATACTTTGAGACAGGAGTGACAAAGACAAAAACGTTACCCACAAGTACCCCCCCCCAAGCGAAGCATATACACGCGGACATGATTTATGTCAAAAAAGGATACAGACATTAACATACACATCCTTCCGAAATATCTGGCTAGGACATTTACATGTCTACGAGGAAACATGTATATGGACTGTCATAATTCGCTTACACTTACGAGTGTGAAATCAATTTATAGGTACTTCCTTTATTTTGCCCCTTACTTCATAGTGAACATCCTCGCAAGGCTTTAAATATTCACCCAGCCCTACCAGGATGAACTGCGTGTTGGAGGAACACGTAAAAAATTGATCGAGTTGAACGGCTTGTTGGTTATGCCATGTATGCTGTGAAACTTTTTAGCTAATTTATCCTCCAGTGACATGCAATATTTTGCCAATGTGGATTATGTACTACTGACACATCAGAAATCGAGGAATTGAAAAAATTTCAGCAGTCAACTGAAGATTAATATGCTGACCGCAGTAGGCTGCATAAATCCTCAATCTTCGCTATATGTCTTGTCGTGAAATTTACCTTCACAAGGATTACAAAACCGCTCGACAATCCTCCAAGGGTCACTGTTCAACTGCAGATGGTGGACTGTAACTACATTGAGTCGCTCCCTGCCAGGTGCTGTCCTTGAGAGATATAGCTGCAAATTCTGGGCAAGTGCGCTGTACGTCAAGACCAATGGACTGGCCTCGAATAGCACGACAATATTCTTCCAGCCGTCCTGTCTCAGGAATATCTTTAAAGATCGAATAATTGTAGGGTCCTTTAGATTCACGGCGAAGGAGGTCTTTTCTGAGTAGCCGGATTGCAACTTCTCAGAATGACTAAAAAAGTCAACATCTTGGCAGAGGTAACTGATCTGGTAGAGGTTTCCGTGGGCTTCAGATGAGTCTGCTCCAAGGGCGATCCAATCAGTGATAAAGTGGCAGTTGCTTCCAAGTCGTGGGCCCAAGAAAACGGAATAACCAGCACTGGAGTTTGCCGGGAGCCGAGCTACTCTCAAGAAGCTAATAACACTGGAAACATGTTTTGCCTCGATCAGACTACAGCCGGAGATAACACTAAAAACAAAGTCAACATCCTCTGATGCTAGTTGTCTATTTGTATGGACTGTTGCGTAGTCGAGTGTAGTCACGATTGTCTCGTAGGTATCATAAACACTGCCCTCTGGCCAGCAATGCTCATCGATGTCCCCAAGGTACAGGTTCAGCTTGGGCGGCGTCTGAGCCACGGCAGAGGCTAAGATCCATATCCAACAGACTGTGTTAAGAGTGCACGCCATTTCGAAGGCCTGTTTCAGCCGCAGATTCCGTAGTCCTGCTGTTGAGTAGAGAACTTTTCGAACATGAAAATATTAACGTTAGGGCGTCACCTTGGCTGGAAGACAAGTGGTTCGTCCGTGAAGGATAGTAGTTAAAGTTCGAGGCTTACTCAAAGCAAATTAAGTCCTCTTTAATTGCAGCTGCTTCGGCGTGTTTCTTGCTGCATTACGCGCGCAAAAGTGCAGCGCTGAAGTGCTGACTTTTGATAATTATTTAAAATTACTTTCTGATTACGGTGAGAGGCACATCCATTTGCGGCTAGCGGCTGAGTTTTAGCCTCGTGCGGCACGCAACACAAAACCCGCTTTGGCTCTTAATTAAAATAGGTCCTTATAATAACCTCAAAATAACTTTTTCTGAAATATTCAATTCGTTAAAACAAAATATAAAACACTACTTATGGTACCTGTTAATTCTCAAGATAGCTAAATCTGGAATATTTTTCCTCATTTTGCAGGCTAATGATTTAAACATTCGGATAAGGGTCACGATGTCAGCCTAGCACGGCTGTCTTATATCTGTATATCAGATATTTATAATTTTTGCTTTCAATTAAACTTGGGAAAAGGCAAACTGTGCAGAGACCCGTCAACGAACTATCTCATGAAGGCGCCTTTTAAAGAGGTTATGTATAATAACACCATATACATTGCCAATGTATTTGTAGACTTTTATTCTTCTCAGAGAAGAGTGCTTACGTTTTGGGTGGGGTTGCAAATATAAGCCAAATGGCCATCTGCACTAGCGAAAACGTCCAAAGATCACTATAGCAGTAAACACTTTAAATAAATATCCCTTTTTAATTGGCTTCCAAATAAATGGAATAGTATCTACATTTATGTATAATACATTTAAAGCATCATTCCATCTTTCGAGGAAGACATGAAATATATGGTAAGCCAACAATATAAGTACTCTAAGAACATTTGACACAAGAAACGTGCTCCTAATGTTTACTAAATGGTTTGCGATTGGATCCAGAAATTCTACTTGAATGTATTAGTCACTGGCCAGCCTGTCAATCTGCGCCCTTAGGAAAAGGATTATTCCCGCAACGGCCCTATAAACAACAGCTGGCGAAACGCCCTCCTTTAATGCAATGTACCTCGAAAAATCTAGAAAGACAAACCAGTTCATTCTCGTAAAACCGCGTAGGAAACTATATTCGAACTGGAGGCTGTTTGGCTAGGACCACCCTTGAGACCACACGTATTCTTGAATGATACTTAAGGGCAAACTGTACTGAATAACTATTTCCAACCGTAACTATACTCGCACGTACTTATCTATTCATCTTTGTACGGACGGGCTGGTTGATATGAGCGGTATCTTATCCAACGATAATAAAACGGCTTTATATTATATGGGCTGTTCCCAAATAAACCAGATTTTTACCATATAATGTACAGCATAAAAAGATTCGATTAATATCACACTGTAGACGACTAACCATGCTGACATCAGCTAAGACATTATGAATGGTAGGCATTCGCATTTGCGGGCAATCCTCATCCTTTAACAGCCTTGTTTCGCTTTCATAACACAGTTAGGAATGCCGGTGATGGAGTAGGACGCCGTGGCTCACGAAGCCAACCAATCCGTCAACGCCTGCCCTACGCATGACGCGGGACCGATGTGCCCAGTTTTCACAGAGTAGGAGTGGGTTGCAGCTCGGACCAAAACTCAGTGGGGGTGCCTAAGAGGCCACACTAACAAGGAACCATTGCAGCCTGACTCTCAGTCCTGAATACAGGACCGAGTTGCCCCGGCGTTTCGTGCGTCGTGATAATTTACTAGCGCGGCAGATTTTTTATGCTGAGTTTTTCTGCGCTGAGTGTCCTGGAGATGGAATTCCCAGAGTGAACCTCATTTTGTCTTCCTCCTCCCAATCATCGATAGATTGTTCGCGTCTGTTAGCCCTTTGATGCGGTGATTGGGTACAGGTGGTTAGCGCTGCATGAACCTGTGTTTGGGCTTGCGGTTACACTTCCCGTACTTGGTTTTTATGATGGGTGAGCAGTCAGAAGTACGCATGCAGTGCCATGATCCGGTCTCTCTGTTGTTCCAGCACATATTGCGCGTACTCTGTTTAGATCCACGTACACTGGCAAGGGAGTGACCTAATTACTGATACCTTCAGTCACTTTTACTCGAAGCATCTTTTCCCAGATGCAAAGTTGAAGATTGCGTACACAACAGAATTTAATGGAACCATAAATTTCGCGAGTGCTCATCAGCTGCGTCCTCTCGCTGCATAAAGTGAGTAACGAATGACAAAATACATCAATTGT